CACCTGGTGGATGTCAGCGGTACTGGGACTCTGTCCCACAGTTACAAGTATGAAGTGTGTCTGAGGGGAGACTCAGGGACCAGTGAGTTCAACTTCGTGAAGCCGATTATTCCCAATTTTCTTGTTCAAGGCGCAGAGAGGGTTAGTGAGGCAAACCCTAGTTTCAGGAATAGTTTTGAGTTCCGTTAAATATTAAGTGTTTAAAAGGCCCTACAGAGTCCACTAACAGCAATTTGTGGAAAATCCTTTTTCTTCTGAACTGCTTTGCCCATTGATGGTGTCTCTCTTTAATTCCATAGCGAGTATATTATTCCAATGCTATGCATGTTACTGGTATTTATAAGTATATGGGTTTTTATGGTAGGTATAATGAATGTAAATTTTCTTTGTATTCTAATTATTGATTAGTTTCATTATAACTTAATTCCACTCAAATTTTATGAGTAAATTTCGTGTTTTCAGAAATCTTTACTTTTTATGTCAGAGCATCATTTTCTAATCTGACAGTTCACATAGTTTCTAGGTAATTGCGACGTCCTTCATTTTAAAATATTTGTTATCATTGGATGGGTTATATTTTTCCAGCCGAGAATACTTGCGTTTATCATATCCTGTTAGGCTAGTGAAGCGTTTTCTAACCTGTTTTTCCTCTTATCTCTTAGCACATTTGAACCTATAGTTGAGTTTCCACAGCACACTTAAATTATATTGATCAAAAAAAAGTTAAAAAAGAATATACTTACAGTATATTCAGTACTTTGAACTGCTTTCCAAAATAACTTAATTAATGATCTTTACAAATTTTTACAGCACACCGGTTGAAAATCACAGGGCTAGTGTAATTTCTATCCTGTGAATTAACATTGGCTAAATCTTTTTAACATAGGGATATTTATTAATAACATAGCAAACATCTGTAGCAAATATACTTCTTTAAAGTGTCAACATTTGAAAATTGTGGATCTGGAAAGATTTTTACAACCTTAAATGTTGGATTCTATAAGTGCTCAATAAATTGTCAAAATCACTTATTAGGTGTTGGGCAAGGTGACTCATTCCTGTAATCCTAGCACCCTGGGGACTGATGCAGGAGGATGGCTTGAGCTCAGGAGTTTGAGGTTTCTGTGAGAGAGCCTGGCAAGAGAGCCAGACTCTGTCTCAAAAAAAAAAAAGAAAATCACTTACTAGTACTCTAAAATGTAAAATAAATAATACATGTCTAGTGATTTTCAAAGGCACACTAATTCATCATGCTTTCTATTTCAAATAGTTTTTTTTGTTTTTTTTTGGAGACAGAGCCTCAAGTTGTCCCCCTGAGTAGAGTGCCATGGCATCACAGCTCACAGCAACCTCTAACTCCTAGGCTCAAGCAAGTCTCCTGCCTCAGCCTCCCAAGTAGCTGGGACCACAGGTGCCCACCACAATGCCCGGCTATTTTTTTGGTTGCAGCCATCATTGCTGTTTTGGTGGGCCTGGGCTGGATTTGAACCTGCCACCTTACGTGTATGTGGCTGGCGCCTCAGCCACTTGAGCCATTTGATCCTTTCAAATAGTTTTTAAAAGCCTGCTGCTTATTCCAGTCCCTCTTTTAAAAATCTGTCTTAATTATGAATAAGCTTCTACTACCTCTGAGCACTATATTAAAATCCAAAAAATATGAGGAAATATATGTCTTTGTCCTTGACCAACTTTTAGAAACTTCAAATGTACTTGGTTTTAATTGTGGTTTTAATTTTTTTTCTGGAGCATTTAGAATTTAATTAGAAACAAGCCTGTGGTTAATGGGGGGGGGGTGGAGAACATGTCTAGTTCTACTCAAATTTTTTGCTTAGTCTACTTCTATTTTCCCCTTTTCAGTCCCTTTGACTTTTTCTTAAGGTGCTTGAGCAGCGTCTCTCAGTATTTCCCTCATTTATTGCATGATTTGCATTGTCAGTGAAACACTGTAGGTTCTTAATAAAAGTTTTGAATGACTGATTGAAAGAAAGAAGAGTCTTTATTTC